GACCCTTCATCCGAAGACCAACGCTCTATCCACTGAGCCAACCCAGCTAGGGTGGCACTTGGGAATTTAAAAAGACGGAAGGAGTGAGAACATTTGAGATCTTGCTCCCTGGCTTATGCTGTAAGTTTGGCTCAAACTCTTATAAGAGTTTCAAAAAATAAAAAGCATTTAAAAAGATGGAAGGAATGAAGATGAGAAGTAAGGAAGAGTGGGCTGAGCATGTGTAAAGCTTGGGAGTGATGAGAGGCAAGTGCGGAAGGGCGTGGGTCCTTGCAGAGGCGTTGAGAAGACTCTGGTCTGAGAGGGCAGGAAGGTCCTCCTCTTACCTGTATTCCTCGATGTGAGGTGAGCACCAGCAATACCCGAAAGGGGAGGGCACACCAGTGGACCTGGAGGGAGGGGGATTAGAGTAGGGACAAGTGGTCAGCAGGGGACATGAGGACTCAGAAGAGCAGAAATTCAAAGGGTTAGGGAAGGCCTATTCCTTGAGGTTTGGAGAGGAAAGGGCGGGGTTAGGACTGGGTTCAGCAACACCACTTCCAACCTCATTCCTCACCTGGGTGATAAGTGGGGAGCTCACTCCAGCTCCCTCCTTAGCGTGGAGCTGGCGCTGGGCCAAGGGCACACCCTCAGGAGCAACGCTGAGAAGCTGGGCGCTGGGTCCATGCACTACCCCAAAATGTGTGAGGTTGCAGACCGGCAGGTGCAGCACACTGAGGTTGTTGCACAGGGCGGCAGCCGAGCCTCGAAGAGGGATGGAACGCTGCCGGCGGAACATCCTAGGGGAGAGACGCTCCAATCACCAAAAGCTCAGGGCTAAACAGAAGACAGCAATGATTCCTCCCGGAGGGTGGCGGGTGCTGTCATAAGACACTGGGGGAGACCCCTGAGACTGGGTCATGATGTAATGGGGGGCCCCAGAGGACGGTGATGGGGGGTCTGGCATGGGGGTGGGTCTCATGGAGCGAGAGAGTGGAGCCCCAGGGCTGAGTCATGGACGATGGGGGAACCCTAGAGGAGGAATGGTGATGGCACAGGACCCGGTGGCCCCCAGCGCCCGAGCCAAGGCGGGTTAAGGCAGGGTGGTCTCCAGGCCCTTCCACCCTCGGTTAGGCTCCCCGAAGCCCCATGCGCGGGTTAGAGGTCACACCAGTAGCCCCTGGTCGGCTTGCCTGACTCCAGGATCTCTAGGTCCCTCCGAATCCGCCGCCACCATAGAGACGACGCACTTACGCAGGCCGATGGGCGGGGCGAACCACCGGAACCTGCGGCGCGCGGCGCGGTTGCCGGGGTAACTGTGGACAGGGCGAGCCAACCAGCGCACAGCGTGGTTGCCGGGGCGACCGTTAGGCGGCGGCGGCCGCCGGGGCGCAGGGAGCCGTAGAAACCTCGAGGCTGAAGACAGAGGCAGCGATGGCACACGAAAGCTCGGTAAGCTTCAGCTCAGCTGGGGGTGCGCCAGAGCCGGGATCGGCCTTTTAAGGTCGGTGTCGGGAACCGTGGACCAGCCCCGCGATACCCGGTGCCCGCCCAGCACGCCGGCGTTCAAGATGACCGTGCGCCAAAAACCTATGCCCACTCACATGCTTTGCCACAATCGGAAGCTGAGGGAAAAGATCGAATGAGGTGCAGAGTCCAAGAGCAAAAAATTACTTTGGGAAACAGCTCATGGATGTAATACGTCTCTTGCACTGAGGTACCCATTTAAATGGATTAACAAGAATTGGCCAGGGATTGGGGAGAGGAGTTGCTAGATAAATTATCCATTTCCAGAGTTTCAGGAGGAAGAAATGGATTAAATAACAACAATCTTGTGGCTGCACTTGAAAATCAAATTGTTTTAAAACAAGATAATTTAAAATAAAACATTTGAAGAACCTTTGTGTAACAATATCCCAGGCCTCTCTGGTCAGGCCACGTCTAGGCACAAGAGAGGCTCTGAGCCCTAGCCGGTTTGGCTTAGCGGATAGAGCATCGGCCTGTGGACTGAACGGGTCACAGGTTCGATTCCGATCAAGGGCACATGCTCATGTTGTGGGCTAATTCCCCAGTAGGGGGCGTCAGGAGGCAGCCGGTTTCTATCTCTCTTCCTCTCCCTTCCTCTTTGAAATCAATAAAAAAATATATTTTTAAAAAGAGAGAAGCTTGGAGGGGAAGTCTAAAGAACCGACTCTCCTCGCCCAGCCCTACCTGGCCTGCGCTGGCTTGAACTGGTCTGTGGGCTCTTCTCTAAGGTTTGCCACCAGGACTGTTCTCACTAGCAGAGAGGGGAAATGAGGCTTAAGGGATTTTGAGTCCCCTGTGAAGTTTAGAAAACATCAGATCTGAGGGAGAATTTTAGGGAACATCAGGGATCAGTGAGGGTTGGGGGTGAGGAAGCTAAGGTTTGAGAGATTCCATCTGGAGGTAAATTTTGGAGGGAATCAGGTTCAAGTAGACTCTTTATGGGGAGGTGAAGGAGGCTCCCAGGGAATCTACTAGTAAATTCCTATGTCCTGAAATTAACTTGGGACCTAGTCTTTATCTTTTTAAAAATAAATATATTTTTATTGATTTCAGAGAGGAAGGAAGAGGGAGAGAGAAACATCAATGATGAGAGAGAATCATGGATTGGCTACCTCCTGCACGCCTCCCACTGGGAATCAAACCTGCAACCTGGGCATGTGCTCTGACTGGGAATTGAACCTTGACCTCCTGGTTCATAGGCCAAGCTCAACCACTGAGCCATGCTGGCTGGGCATCTTTATCTTTTTAAGTAGATTTTTTTCTTTTCTACTGCTGCCCATTGCTCCCCTGGTTGCAAGTCTCGTGGGGACCCTTAGAGTTAGGAGAGGTACACCTGAGAGGGAAGAGAGGCATGGGCCTACTCCCAGGAGGGAGAGTGCGCCCTGGGTCTTTTGTCTTGAGGGTTTCAAAGACTGGGAGTTTGAAGGAGACATCTGTAATGTTTTCAACAATAAAGATAAGTTTAAAAAGTAGCCTGGTCGGTGTGGCTCAGTGGTTGAGCATTCGACCAATGAACCAGGAGGTCACAGTTCGATTCCTGTTCAGGGCACACGCCAGGGTTGCAGGCTCGAACCCCAGTGGGAGGCATGCAGGAGGCAGCCAATTGATGATTCTCTCGCATCATTGATGTTTCTCTCTTTCCCTCTCCCTTCCTCTCTGAAATCAATAAACAATATATAAAAATAAATAAATAAAAATAAAAGCTGGGAGTTTAGGGGAGGTCTTAGAGGAGGCATGCAATAGAATATTTATCAGCTTCATGCTGATGAACCAAAAGGAGATTTATTCCCTTAAGTTCAACTGTCCTTAGGTGTGGTTGACACAAATGACACTAATTGGATTTCTGCTATCTATCTCCTGAGCTTATAAAATAGAGAAGAGCATAGGAAAAAAAACATACCCACTGTTACAATTTTGGTATTTTCTTTTTCTTCAACACATACAGGTTTACATTATCTGAGATCATACTTGTTCTTTCATTTAACATTAAATCTTAAGTATTTTTCTATGCTTTTGCAAATTCTTCCTAAAGATTACCTTTAATCATTGTATAATATTGCATCATGTAGATAGTACACAATTAGCCATCTATTCTCTTTTTGTTAGACATATGTGTTCAATATTCTGCTATTATAAATCACACCACAGGGAATCTGTTGAAGAATAAATATATATATATTATATCATATTATATTATATTATATATATTGCATATATATAATATATATATTGATTTCAGAGAGGAAGGGAGAGGGAGAGATAGAAACGTCAATGATTAGAGAGAATTATTGATCGACTGCCTCTTGCACACCCACACTGGGGATTGAACCTGCAACCTGGGCATGTGCCCTGAACGGGAATCAAACTGTGACCTCCAGGTTCATAGGTCGATGCTCAACCACTGAGCTACACTGGCTGGGCTGAAGAATATATTTTAATTTTAGATTATACATTTGAATGCATTGATAAAACTATAATTAATATTTTTGAAGGTTAGACATGTTTTCAAATATTTATTAGTCATTTACAGTTCTACTTTTTATTTATTTATTTATTTATGAGAGAGAAAGAGAGAGAGAGACAGATTTGTTGTTCCATATTTATGCATTCATTGGTTGGTTCTTGTATATGTCCTGACTGGGGATTGAACCCACAACCTTGGCATATGGGGACAATACTCTAACCAACTGGACTACCTGGCCAGGACTACCATTCCACTTTTGTGAAATGTTATGTCCTTTGCCTATTATTATCTTTGGAGTTTATGATTGTTCTTATTTTATTTTATTTATTTAAAAAATATTTTTATTGATTTTTCAGAGAGGAAGAGAGGGAGGGAGAAACAACAATGATGAGAGAGAATCATTGATTGGCTGCCTCCTGCACAACCCACACTGGGGATCAAGCCCACAACCCGGGCATATGCCCTGATAGGAAATTGAACCAGGACCTCTGAACCAGGACCTCTGGTTCATAGGTGGATGTTCAACCATTGAGCCATGCCGGCCAGACATTCTTATTTTATATGAGTTTTAATATATTTAGGAATATAAATATTTTTAATATTTGCTACAAATGCAGGGTAGAGCAAAAGTAGGTTTACAGTTTGTATGGAAAATAATACAATAATAAATAAATAATACATGAATAAGCTATGTTCCGTGTACTATAAACCTACTTTTGCCCCACCCTGTATTTTTTGTTTGAGAAGCAGTATAAAGTCAGGCTCTGGAGTCAGACTTGCATATAAATTATCACTCCACTACTTCCTTGTTGTGTGATCTGGGCAAATTCTGTAAAATGGAAAGAAAAATAATATGTAGTATAAAAAATGCAGGAATTGAGCCCAGACGATGTATGCAACTATTATACTCTAAGTGCTGGAAAATGATAACTACGAATATCAGCTTGCAAATTAGGAACGTTTATAAAAATAAGTACAGGAAAATTTGACAATTTGACAATCACACCACAGGGAAGCTATTGAAGAATATACAGTTTTTTCTTACCCAGAGATTATATGACAAGTTATCCTATTTTCCCTACAATTTATATTTTGTTTATATTTTTGTTTTATTTGTGTGTGTGTGTCCTTTAATCCATCTGGAAGTTATTTAGACGTATATTGTGAAATAAGGATTTAAGTTGATTTGGGGAGGAGGAGGAGGAGACTCTAAGCAGCACCAATGATTCCAGCACCCATATATTGACTCATCTATCTCAAATTCTTTACCCCCCAAGAACTTTGGACACTTTGGACTAGTGCAAATAGCAAGGACTGTGGAGTTGGAGCCATATACAGCCTGGGCTTATTGTGGAATCCCAAGCAAGTTCTGGTTAACTGTGTCAGGCTTCAGTTTCTACGTCTGTGAAATGGGCTCAGTGAGCTGTTGTGAAAATTAAATTAGCTCGATCCAACCCCTGAGAAGCACCTGTCACACAGTAGGCTTACTTAGAAAATTATCCCTTTCAGAAGGCTTTTCCTTCCTACTAGCCCAGTGGTCGGCAAACTCATTAGTCAACAGAGCCAAATATCAACAGTACAACGATTGAAATTTCTTTTGAGAGCCACATTTTTTAAACCTAACACTATATAGGTAGGTACATTGTTATTAACTTAATTAGGGTACTCCTAAGGCTTAGGAAGAGCCACACTCAAGGGGCCGAAGAGCCGCATGTGGCTCCGAGCCGCAGTTTGCCGACCAGGGTGTTAGGAGAATGAAGGAGGGGTTAGGTATTCTAGCACCTCTCAGGTGTACCATTGTGGGTAAGGGGATAAGTGATCTGTGAAAGAAAGAGGAGCCCCTTTCTCCACTGCCACAGCCAGTGAGATTTTGGGGGCGAGTACATCCCTGAGGTGTTGCCACAGGGACTGTCCCTTTCCTTTACAAACCTGGCAGAACTGGGGCAGTTCTCCTTGCTAGTCACATTTCTTCAATTATCTCTCTATTAGTTGCTTTCCTTCCACATATAGATATATTCTAGACATGCTTTGCTAAAAGATTTTTCAGTTACCAGCTTATTGTAACTGGTTTCCTTCCTCTTCTACTGAAACTACCCTCCCAGAGGTCATGGTTGGCATCCTCGTTAACAAACCCAATGGCTACGTTTTCATCTTCCTTGACCTTTTTGGAATATTAGAAATTACTAGTTCTACTTGCATCATTGAAACTCATTCCCTGCGGAGATTCTTGGCCTGATTGTGCCACAGAAATCTCAAACTAACAAGCCTTAGGTTTAATTCACCAAATATGTGCTCCATATGTCTATTCTCCTATACTCCGTAATTATTTTAACAGTACTGTACCCACAACGTAGCCTTACTGAAGAATTTGGCATCAGCCTTCATTCCCTGCACCCCTTCCTGTTCCAGTCAATGATTAAGGCATGGTTAATCTTGTAAATCAACCTAGGAACTTCTCTCAAACCCATTCCCACCAGAATGGCC